AAATGACGTTTCTGTGAGTTGATTGGAATATAATCTTCACATACATATTGGTACAGAATCTGGTTTCCTTTGGTGTTTCATCCACAGCTGGAAATCGTTTTGGTCAAATAAAAATGGATATTTACGGAATAAACGGTGTAAGATTTTCCTTTCTTTTTCTTCACTCATTTCTGGTTCATCAGTCTCAGTTGTGTATTGGGGGAGTTCATGTGGAGTTTGATCAGTTTACAAAGACCAAGGCCATGTTAAGGGGAACTTATTCATTGTTCACTGCAGCTACATGTGTATTGGTAAATTGTAATCTTTCTTAGTCTTTGCTCTAACATGAAATGGAATCTAGTTTTTTTAGTCTTTTAAATCACCTTAGGTTCTCTGATGTGCTTCTGCATTTGCTGATAGATTCGACTGGAAGAGGATGACACATGTAACTGATAAGGTGTTAAGTTTATGTGTGGTGTTAGTTTATGATTTTGTTGGCCTTTGTACCTATAGTTTGTTCTTGTAGACAAGGCCTTCAACTTGAAAGGAAGGAATTCATTTGAACTTATTGGGGCACCTGCATGGGTCAGGAATAGTAAAGTGGTTTTCAGGACGGTGGAGCCAATATTGTTAATTTTTTGTTGTGGTTTGTTTTAATGATATATTTTTAAGAGTTGTTTGGAATGTGATTCTCACTTCATATTGGTACAGAATCTGGTTTTCTTTGGTGCTTTTTCATCCACAGCTGGAAATCCTTTGGTCAAATAATATTCTATTCTTATGGAGGAAAGGGTGTAAAATTCTTCTCTTTTCTTTGCTCATTTCTGGTTCATCAGTTTCAGTGTGTGCATTGGGGTTGTTTATGTGGAGTCTGATCATTTTACAAGGTCTGAGCTGTGAAGGGAAACTATTTTGCGGCTACATTCACATTGGCGATTACATCTATCTTTGCTCTACATGAACTGGAATCTGGACTCTCTTCAGTTTAGTATAAAATGCCTTAAGGTTTTTGATGTTCCTCCGTGTGCAGATAGCTTTGATGGGGAGAGGATGACACATGAATCAGGTAACTAATAAGGTGTTAGCTTTGTGTGTGTTGGTTTATGAATTAGGTAGTTCTCTCTGCATTTCTGGACCTTCAACTTGCAAGGAAAGAATTCGTTGGAACAAACTTCTTGTCAGGGGTCTTCTTGTTGGATAGATGAAACAACATACTATTTATAAAAGATTAAGCTCCCTCGATACTGTCCATCTGTTTGAAATTATCAATAGTTGTAGTTATATCATGAATTGTCCTCTATATTAAAGTCTGGCATTGTACTGCACAGGAATTTCCAATATAGCTTAATGACAGTTCCTTGGGGTCTTCTTGGATGTTCAGTTATATAAAGATTGGTCACCAGTTGGTAACTTCCATGCTATGGTACTGATATGCACAATGAAAAAATTGATTGATTGCATGGTAATTTTCTATACTGCACATAAATCCTTTCATGTCATAATCAGATGATGGGTTCTTTGGACTGTTGCTTACGGGTACGGCTATCGGGCACTAGTTCATATCTAAGTGTCGAATTTTTTATTTTCTAAAATATAGGATGCAGGAACATTTTTAAAGAGAGTCCAAATTTCAGATACGGATAC